GGTCAGGCTTCGCAAACTTAGCTACCCTGCCTCCAACTTGGGCATCCTTCTTGGAACGTGCAAGGCCGCCTTGGTGCGCTCTGCCTACGGCCCTCTGCCAGTTGTTTAGCGTTACCTGTGTGAGACGTCACTAGACAGGAACGCTGAGTGTCGGCCTCACCAGAGGTACGGCTCGCTAAACAGCTGGTGCGTGGGTGCTGGACGCAGTGACTCACAGTAGGGTGTCGGGGTAGCCGCGCTTACTTTTCACTCTTTTGCAGTGCTGAGTACTTGATATCGGTGGCTGCCTCCGTGCCAACTTCAATTTCTTCATTGATTCATTGCATCAGATTAGGAGGTTTCCTCCTGAATATCCTTAAGTACTCTGCCAAAGCAGATTCAGTATAGCAGGTAGTGAGACCTGGCAATCTGGAGGAAGCGATCCTCTCGAAGTCCAAAAGGCCGGACTGTGAAATAAAAAGGCGGGTGAGACCTTCTATATCACACTTGCCCGCCTTAATCACACCAAACTCAGCTAGCGCACAGCTATAGCCTGCAACACAACATCGGGGCCAGCCGGCACTGCAGCAGTCGCGGGTGCAGGTGAGCCAGTAGGAAGCGGTCGTAGGGTGCCCAGCCAGCACAGCGCTATCGCAGCCCTGAGGGGCGGATGCATTCCACATACTCGAACATAGCTGTGCACAACAATCCTTTCAGCAGCCCTGAGGGGCGTGAAGTACGAACTAGCAAAGACTGCTGGAGCTCCCAAGGCGGATACAGAGTAGCCGACTTGCCGAGGATCCAAAGTGATCAGAGGTCCACATGCTGATTCTGGCAGTGAGTGCAATGCAAAAATGTTGTTGTTGTTCTTGTTGTTGTTGTTGTTGTTTGTTGTTGTTGTTGTTGTTGTTGTTGTTGTTGTTGTTGTTGTTGTTGTTGTTGTTGTTGTTGTTGTTGTTGTTGTTGTTGTTGTTGCTGTTGTTGTTGTTGTTGTTGTTGTTGTTGTTGTTGTTGTTGTTGTTGTTGTTGTTGTTGTTGTTGTTGTTGTTGTTGTTGTTGTTGTTGTTGTTGTTGTTGTTGTTGTTGTTGTTGTTGTTGTTGTTGTTGTTGTTGTTTTGTTGTTGTTGTTGTTGTTGTTGTTGTTGTTGTTGTTGTTGTTGTTGTTGTTGTTGTTGCTGTTGTTGTTGTTGAAGCACTACCAGCTCAAGCCGCCCGCGCATGGTAGCTGTCGAACCGGCCAAGGCCCCGAACTTCATCTCTTTAACAGCTTTCGGGGCCTGCCTAACATCTCAAGGCTTTCTAGCTTTTGCCAGCTGATGGTCACTCCGAGGCTTTAGCCTCTTGCAATTGAGATTCAGCCGCAGACAGCAAATCCACGAGCTGGCCCGGTCCCAATTCCGGGGGGAGACATTTAGATAGTCTAAGACTGCATCTTACGCTCCCAAGTGTGAGGGTTCTCGTCTTTCCGCACGGCGAGGGGAGTCTGATCGTGCCTAGGCACTTCAGTCGAAACAAGCGGATGGCAGAGGGGATAATTTTGAGGCTTTTACAAAGGACGACGGGTTTTTCTATGCGCTGGTTCACAAAGCAGAGCAATGGTGTTCTTAGATTATGCAGGTCTTACCGCGGTTTGACAACAATCAACAGTTTTTATTTCAGTGGCATGTCTACAGATGCTGTCCGACGAAGCGGTCCTACTAATGGGAGCCTCGAGCCCCAGCCAAGTTGACGGAGACAAGCCTGAGTCCCTGCTGCGCTAGCGGCAGATCTCTATATGGCCCTTCATCATTGCCTCTGGTACTCGGAAGCTGAAGTCGGATGGCGCTGGCCAATACGTCTTTTTGTAAATCTGGTATTGTTCACAGTTCAGACAGAAAGGTCTTCTGCAAGTTCATCGCCAGCTTGAATAGGCCGCGCAGCAGATTACAGTTCGAGGAGAAGCAACATTACCCAACGTTTATCAATGTACCCATACCACCTAAACCTGTTTTTAATATCGTTGGATTTGATTCACGGCCAGGTGGGCTAGCGCGGCCAGCGCTAGGCGCGGCCGCAGACCTAGGTGAGGGGGTCGTGACGGCCCGCTGGCTCCAGGAGAAGATCTTGAGTGGTTATGCAGACAAAAAGCACTTCGCTGGGACACTCAGATGCTCGCAACGCTCTCCTCGGCCTTTTTTGTTTTCTTCTTCGCTGACATTCAATGCTGATGAGATGGCCAACATTTCAGCCTAGCAGCGCCTAGAAGTCCCGTTCGTCGGGTAAGGCAGCAAGATGTACCTTTCTTTGCTTGGTCAAGACAGCCTAGTAGTCCCGTCAGTCGGGTGAGGCAGTGCTGTGGCCTAGTAATCCCGTTCGTCGGGTAAGGCATTGAAGAAGGATGCTAGCTGGCTGTCAGTTGTTTTTCAATTTCAATTTCTTTTAACTCACGCTGCGCTGGCAGCGGCCTGAGCGAGAATATCTCTGAAAAAGGCCTTCTCCATGAGAAGCTCAAGTTTCATCAGCTCAGTGCTTTCACGCCACC